GTAAATGTTGAAATTGTAAGTCAATGACCAAATTTTTATTAGTTTCAAAGTTTATGAAATAAAATTCACCATGACCATATTATATATCTTGTGCTAATTGAAAACAGAATTGTAATCAGCACAGGAAGAAACAAGACCTTTCAGTTAAAACTGAAAGGCGGCTTTCAGTAACTTTTCAGTGGCCATTCAGCCACTGAATGGCACATACATTTCAGTGACCTTTCAGTTGCCTTTCAGTCACATTTCAGATACCTTTCAGTCACCATTCAGCGGACACATTTCCGTCAACTTTCAGTGGCCTTTCCAGCAACTTTCAGTGACCTTTCCGTCGTCTTTCAGTGACCTTTCCGTCGTCTTTCAGTGACCATTCCGTCGACTTTCAGTGACCTTTCTGTCGTCTTTCAGTGACCTTTCCGCCACCTTTCAGTGATGTTTAAGTCTCAATTTAGCATTTTTTTCATTAGCGTATTATTTTATAATCAGATATTTTTCCTTAACAAGGAAGCAATATTTTGAATAAAGATTTATTATTCAATCTTAATTGTGTTTTTTTTTTTTACTTATCGTAATCAAATTCGGGTACCTTAAAATATGTCTAAGTAATTATTATTTTTAATTACAAGAATAAATAAATCGTTTATACTTGCCTCTTGTAGAAAAAATATATAGGAGATTTTAGCTTTCTAAATGATATTGCTTTAATAAAATCATTCTACTAAGTTTCTAGATAGAGAATTTACAACGATTTTAAATCTTTGACACAGGAACAGGTGCCCGTCTCTGATAATTGTCATCATCCCGATAGGAGATGTGTAATTAATTAGTCTGTCACCAAAATAAAATATGTGAGACTTATTCAAAATGATTTATAATTTTCTAGTTACATTTAAAAAAAAATTATTTAAGTGATAAAAAATGATGATCCGACAACCGATTCACAATTTAAATAAATGCATAACAATCTATAGTAGTTATACATGTATTTTTTAATGGAACTATATAGTTTTGATTGATGAGACAGAATTTATATTATTTTAACCATTTCTTGAAGATCGCAAGTATTACTGATCAATTTCGTTTCTTAATTATGTCATTGTATTGTCAAAACTGCAGGATATTTAGTTTTTGAAAGACATTATTTTAAACTCATTTTTAATTACAAGAATAAATAAATCGTTTATACATGCCTCTTGTAGAAAAAAATATATATTAGGAGATTTTAGCTTTCTAAATAATATTGCTTTAATAAAATCATTCTACTAAGTTTCTAGATAGAGAATTTACAACGATCTTAAATCTTTGACACAGGAACAGGTGCCCGTCTCTGATAATTGTCATCATCCCGATAGGAGATGTGTAATTAATTAGTCTGTCCCCAAAATGCGCGCAACTAACATAGAATATACAAAAGATAGGTGTCTTCCCACTTAGCCAAAATTTTGAAAATGTTACAGGTGATTGATTTTGGCTAAGTGGGAATGGTGTACAGGTAAGGGGAGGGAGAGAACAAAAGAAATTAATTACAGGTGACCTATAGTCTGTTTAAGATTTACCACAAGAAATAGGTTAAAATTTAAAATTTACTTATTAAATGTTGATATTGCATGGTAACTGAAATTTATATTTGAAATTATAATTTTTTTTTCTAATTTTGAATAAATTAATGTCATTTTGTTCTAAATTATTTTATTAGAATTAATTACTAATGGAAAAATAAAAAAAAATCTTTCTTAAGTTTTTTTTTACTTTGTAAATGTTAAACAATTTGTATTCTTTTTTTATCATTCAATATTGAGGCTGAGCATTTTTTAAGATTTGAATTTTTTTTTTATTTATTAAAAAAATTTAAGTGTCAATTTTAATGCACTTTGTACATGCATCACAGATATTTTAAAAATACATGTGAATGAAAGGTACGGTATTATTAATATCTTTAAAAACTTGAGTCTATGTACTGAAATCATGTGTTAAAAGTTAAATGCGAATAATTATAATCATTAAATAATTTATTAAAATAAAATACCACATTAATGGAAAAGCATTAATAAGATGACTGATAAATTAATATGTAAAAGTGTTTATTTTTAAATAAACTTTTTAGAAATAAATATGCTTATATTAAACTGTTCTGTTTAAAAAATATGTTAAAGCAAGATATTCTCTAATAGATACTCTATTTTATCATTCAAACATTTTTTTGTGTGAATAAGAATTGGTTTTAACATATTTTTTAAATAAATACTATACAAATGGTTTGAAAACCAATCCTAACAACTTTTGAGGTTCTAACCATAAAATGCTATAAATGTCAATGATTATACGTACATGGGAGAAAAAAAGAAAAAAAAACTATTGATAAAAGAATTAAATATAAGTTTTGCATGGAAACTATGTATTTCTATATAAATCAGATTATATTATATTTTTACCATCAATTAATTTTTTTTATAGTACATGTATACATGTAATTCCTATTAAGTACAAATATTTCTGCAAACTTAAGTAACTTAATTAATTCTTTTTCTTTTCATTCTGAGTATAAACTCTTTATTGGAAAGATTTAATTAATTTAAGTAATGATCCAAACACATTAAATAATTTCAGTGTATTGTCCAAAAAAAAATATCTGCAAATGGGTGATTTATTTTTCACTTTTCCCCAAGAAAATATTTTTTTTTAATTCTCTTTACATAAAACGTGATCCTAAGTTTTCTTTTTAAAAATGATATTGATATGAATGTACCGGTATGTATTTAAAAAATTTAATATGTAGAACCTGATTAATTAATAATTATGTTATAAATCAAGTATTTATTATATGTATTTTGATATTGAACTTATACACCACAGGTAATAAGTACAGGTAATAAAACAGACTATACACAGGTGACCTCTCAGGTGTGAAAATCCCAATTTTGGCTAGATGGGAATGAGAAATTTAGAATTTTGGCTAAGTGGGAATAAACCAAAAGATATACAAGATATATACACATCGCAGCTCCTCGATACCACAGGTGAACTGATTGTTACATCGATTTCTATAGAATAATTGATTTTAAATCCTCAATTCTCAACAAGAGGTCGTAGCGTAATTGATAAGGTCGTGGACACCTAAGCAGGAGACCAGGGTTCGATTCTAGATATGGGAGCAATTTTTTTTTTCTTGTATTAATTTTTTTCCTACTTTTTTTATTCGGAATTAGATACATTTAATGTTATTTTACCAGGAAAAGTGAAATAAAATTTTTAGGTAAAAAAATAAGCCAATTATTCAATAAAAAGATTCAACTGAATGATCACGGAAATGTCACGGGAAAGGGTCTTTTCAGTGACCTTTCAGTGACCATTCAGTGGCCATTCAGCCACCATTCAGTCGACTGAATGGTGGATTTTCATCCTGTGCAGTATACACCAATGCACTTTATTGACTGGTTAAAGTAAAATATTTCAAAAGAGCATAGAACTTAAAGTCGAAAAAGATTTCTAAATAAAAGATTGTTTAAAAAGAATGCCCAATAATCAAAAGTGTACCGTTTTTCGACAAACAGGGTATTCATGGTCCCTGATATATACAAGATTATTGTAAAAGTACATTTCATTAGCTGCGTTACCATTACCATGGAACTATGCAACCTACGCTTTATCATAAGGCCTGTTCGTTGACCTATGAACCCCAACACGGCACCACAATTATTACAGGTAAATAAACATTAACGATATTTTTTTGGCTCAATCCTCATCTATGCACCACGGGAGTTCAAGCCCTAAGTTCATTTGCTTCTCTACTTCAAAGTTCCTAATTTTTAACTCTTGGTAAAAAATCTTAACAATAACTTTGGATTTCAAATTTTATAACTTAGAATCATGGACTTTATTGGTCTATTCTGATAAGTTCTATTACAAAATGATTTACAAAATTAAAGTTAATCGTTCCAATAACAAAATAATCCAATTTCCTCTAACAAAAAAATTATAGTTCGTTCATGAACATAAAGTCCCTTTTCCAATTATCAAGTCACTGTATGAGGTACACCAATAATATACATCCTTGTTTAATAAACTTTTATTTTATATTTCTGTCACTTATTCAGTTCACGTTTAATAACTAAAATGATTAAGATATCTCAATGCAAGCCAATTTTAAAATGTTCCAATAAAATGTAGGTTCAAAACCCTATAGGTTTACAAAAAAAAGCCTATGATTTCTTTATATGCAAAAACAATGAAATAATGAACTGATTCTAAATTAATATATCAATATATTCTGCATTAACAACTTTTCCAGAGTAGATGATATACATGATAAATATATCAGATTTATCAAATATTTGGTTATTTGATTATTTTATTTCAAAGAACAAAACATTATTTACAAAATACAATGGTATGAGTATGTAAGAAACGAATTTAAAAGGAAATACAGCTGTCTAGTCTAGTCTTTACAATAGTACAATTAAAATTAAGGAAACCCTAAAATGCATATTATATGATATATATGAAACTGGTGTAAAAGATGAAAACTCATGCTTTTTTTAATAATTGAAATTCAATGCAGAGTCTTTTTTAATTATTTGATTGCATTTTTATTTTCTTAAAAAGTTGCAGAAGAAAATTTTATATTCAGATAACATTGTCCACAGGCATCGCCCACAAAGATCTTGAGATATGTGATTTGTTATTGAATTTTGCACAAAATATCAAAAAATTAACGTGGGCGACGGCTGTGGACACTGTTTTCTAAAGGAAAATCACCCTTGAAATTTGCCATTATAGTCGAAAATAAAAATTCATATTTGTAGAATGGTAAAAATATTCTTTCCTGATTTATCAGAGTCATTTATTTAACTAATATTTAAGCCAGTTTCAAAACTTTTTGATGTCATTACATTTTTAGAGCGCAATAAAGCTAAAACCATACCTTCTTCTTTCTTTGCTTGCATAATAAACTTCTTATGTTTACAGTCTTCAAAGTTATGTGTTTATGATGGATGTAAGTCAGCTATTTTACACCATATGAATATGATTAATGATTTTCAAATCATCTATATAAGGTATTATTTTTCTTAGTACGAATTAAAAAAAAACAATATTGTCCGACTCATAATGAAATTCAAAATCATTTTTTAAAAACAAATAAGCACATTTATTGGCATATGATTATCATGTAGTGATTGGTGATACTGACAAAAATATTAAAATAAATAACAAATTGATACAAAATAAAATAATATACTAAAGATTTGAACAAATATCATCGCAGATTGATTGGATTCAAAAACGATTTTCAAACCAATTATATTCATACGATCATAAGTTATATATTTAATAAGGATTGTCATTGAATCCTTTTTACATGTTGACTTGCATAGAAAGGTATGGGCCAATGAAATAAAATAGTTACCAAAGTACATTAAACATGCATTTCATGGATCATGTTTCTTATGCACCGTATGCAAATTTGTCTAACCTCAATTCTAAAAAGTCCATAGCACAATGGACTCGATAAAAAATTGCAAGTGGCAAAATCAGCTTCGTGAGAACATTCCAGAACATTCTCTTATAGAAAAAGTATATGGGTAAAGTAAATATTGGTTCCCGAATTTCACCGAAGCTGTACGAAAACCATAAACCCCAATTTACAATTGAGAGAAACGTACATATTTGATGCGAATGGTTGTGAAAAGACTGTGCTTCATTTATATGTAGAGAGTTATCAGTACATGGAAGCTTTTGTAACCGCATTAAAATAACAGTTTGAAAAATGGTCAGAATTATTCCCATACACCCCTCGCCCAAAGCAACCCAAACATACCATTTTTTTGGAATTTGAGAAAATGCGATGACTTGTAAACTGTGATACACTGCATTACCAAAACAGCTTGTTAGAAATATAATGGAACTGATATTATTTCCCATTCTCACAGAATCGTTCCTATTGAATCTTATTTTCCTTATCAGAAGAAAAGTTATGAATATTATGACGAACATGAAAAGTTTCAAATAAAGCTGAATGAATGTATAAAGGATATATTTGTATGATACGTTTGAAGAATCTGATATTTCTTCACTTGACTTTGTAATAACAACAAAGAAAGTGAAAAATATCAGTACGGCTGCATGGATGCACGAAAAAAGCATGGTCCACATTTCAGGGTTTCTTCTTTCCTCATTTCTATTCGAGATTTTGTGTCTTGAAAATAGGTATGATATTGCCATAAGCGAGAATTCAATGACAACCGGAGAAAGGTATGGATTAGAATCTTTAAAGAAGTGTTCTATGTCTAAAACTTTGATGCATGACTCTGTACTATTCTGAATGTAGTGCATAGAATCATTGCATGAAAACGCATTTTTCTCATAAAACTCTGGAAAGATTTCAGATGACTCCGTCAAGATGGTATCTAAAAATGTACCAATATTAGCAGATATTAGAAATAGTAAAGCAATTTTCTCTATATTTCCCTTTTGAGATATATCTGTGACCAATATAACTGAACAAATGAATTGAAGGACAGTGAAAACACATCCCAGTACATTAAAACCAACATTAATTTCTCGTGTGTAATTATTACAGTCATTAAACACGTGGTGAAGCAGTGCAATGATGTAACTCATTAAGGTTATCACAGCAAACACTGTAAAAACGGTGGTTTTAATGTATAGAAAATATGACATTTTTCTAAGATTAATGTTAATGCATTTAAAGGCTGTTTTACGGCAGGAACATATCAGTGTAACTATTCCGGAAATGATACCAAGAACTGTAGATATCGTTAACATACAGGTTGTCACAAATTCAGTTTCCACCTCCTGATATATTAACTGCAACCAAACCACCAGCAGAAAGGATACGATAATTGCAGTCAAACAGACACCAATGACTTTTAAAACGTCTAAAAAGTAAAATGCATTGTCTTAATCAATTGCATGTATTGTTCTTGAGACGTATTTGAATCTGGCACGAGCATGTATAATATAATAAGAGAATGTCGTATTTAAATAATTGATATTATAGAGTTATGTAAGAAGATATTCATACCATCTGTAGTTGATGATGTCGTGCATTCTGTTGTATCTATAACATATAGGTTTTGATGCATAAACAAATCAAATACAAAAACCTTAATTCACTTGATTTATAATCATAGTTTTTGTATTTTAATTATACCTATACATCATTAATAATATTGATATCAATACGATATTTCTTTTAATATTTCGTTCGATAACCAATAATTGTTAAAAAAGTCTATAAAAATATTAGCAAGGTAAACAGGGCCAAAAAAACCTAAAGCAGGGGAAAAAACCCAAAATAATATTCAATAGCGGGAATCAGGTGCCTAGGGGGAGAAATCATCCATTTTCGATCTGTCACCGCCACATGCACGGACACAATTTATTGAGGCAGAATACTCTCTAGTCAAATTAAGTATAACAAGGGTCAATTGACCACGTCGTTCAATTGAGTAAAACTTAAGCTATTTTAGACATCAGCTTAGGTACGCTAAAACGGAATTGAAAATTTATCGCACTAGGAGCATGCCCTTGTTTCTGAATAAGATGGTGTAATGTAAACACTATTTGTACTGTTATATATTGAACAATCTTGAATCGTCGTAAATATTCCTCACGATAATAATGTAAAATTTTGAACCTCTTAACGAAATCCCTTTCCATGATTTAAAGAATCATAAATATGTAATGTGTGGGGAACCGTGAAAGTAATTTGACAATTCTCAAGAAAGAAAATTGCTACAATTATGGTTTTCCATACACAATACATACTACAAAACGATCGGTTCACTTTATATATAAAGCGGCTCTTTAGATATACCAATTTTTTTACTGACACTTTATGTTCAAATTTAAACATCAAAATAAAGTAGAAACTTGGTACTTCATTTTCTATTAAAATTTTTCTCCTTAATCTTCAGGTCTTGATACACAGGCTTCATGGTATTGCAATGTTATTGAATTTTAATGTAAATATGTATATTTGAGTACTCTCAGAGAAGGAAAATAATATGAGTGCATCCTCTGATCTAAATAATATAACATGTCTTGTAATCCTAAAACGGTTCTATCGTTTACTAGTTTCATATTTTAGATCAGAGGTTGAAATTTAGCTTTAAAAATGTGCTGTTTTTATAGACTTTTTCAGAATATGAAGAAATTGAAGTTTTTTTGACGTCATAATGCATTGACATGCTAGAAAATTACAGCAATTTCTATAGACATGCAATCACCACAGCTCTAAATGATATTTAATGCATTGTTAAATTAAGCAATTTTAGATTTGGAGAAAAGTTAACAGTGCAAAAAAGGCAATATTGAACTTTGTTCTTTTGAAGTTTTTTGTGATCATTTCACTTTCCAAGACTCAAAGAATGACAACACTTGTATCCATAATACAGAGAAAGCATTTCATATGCAGTTGACACAAGGTGACTTCGTTTTTAATTAAACTTTGAAATACATTCTCTATCTGCATTTTTGTGGCCTCATACACACTAATACAATTATACACATACATGTACATGTATTTAAAGAAAATATGAATGATGTAATATACATAAGACATTAAATTTACAAACCATCTCTTCCTAGATTTTCCGAATTCCCTTCCTCTACAAAAAGAATTAATTCCGATAAACAATCAAATAAACATTGCTTTTTTAATTTGAAAAATAGACATTTTTGGTGTCTGATTGCACAGTAATGACTGTCTTGTTTATGTATCCTTACATTGATTGTGTATGGAAGGATACTCTAGTCTGTAACTTGGTCAAACATGGTTGAGGTGAGCCGTCTTTAAACAGTTTTAGGGATCAATAGGATATATAAAGCAGCATAACTTTGTATTTTGTTCAGACTTTTAAAATTCCACCCAACACGGTCAGAAATAGTGGAACGAGATATCCTTAAAAATTTTTAAGGTTTAAGCCTACATATATTCTAGATATAATCGCCCTTTGTTGTCTCACATGTAGCATTAAATGTATAAGAATATGAAAGATGTTACATTCAGAAGGTATTTACATACCATTTATTCTTCCGCCTTCCACGTTTTCTTCCTCTAAAAATAAAGAAAATGATACTCATAAATCATTTTATACTGCTTGATTAACATACCTTGTGCTTTCATAAGTGCCACATTGTTTTCATTGAAAAAATACTATATTTTTAGATCCCAGAGAATATGCTATTATCAAAAAACGAGTTTACCCTGTTTGGGTCTTGTGTTTCTTTTAAACCCCAGTCACATTTCCGAAAACGACCAACGGCCGACGAGTTTTGGAGCAAAAATGGGATTCTTCGGGTGACAGTCGTCACATCATCGGCCGTTGTCATGGCCGATTTTGACCTTTTTTTTTGTCGGCCGACCAATTTCGTGTCCATCGGTCCAAGTTATAATTTTTTCTACGTCGGTGGCCGATTTCTTCAATTGAAGTTATCCGACGACCAACCTTCGATCATCGTCCGACCATAGGCGGTCAGTTTATTAAGTCGGTCGTCCGTCGTTGGACAGTAAGAGTGTTGAACATTTCGGCCGACGGTTAAAATCAATTTGTAGCTCAGAACTCGATGATCGGGCGACGATTAAAAAAATTGGCCAACTTGTGAATATTTAACTTATTAAGGATATTATAAAATATTGCTGATTTCTAAATAAAAAAGATTTTTTTGTGTTATTTATCCAAGTCATCGGTGTCCCTAAGAAGTAATGTGAATGCTCCGTGTCGCCCGATCATGTTCTTTTCGCAGACAAGACCATAAAAATTTAGTCGCCCGACCATCGACTTAAATGTGACCTAGGCATTAGTCTACTAAGCTGTAAATAAACTGAATTCAGAATATATTTTTCAAGGTACAGCAGTTGAACTATTTAACAAGTTATGGAAGTCCCCCACGTTGTGCAGTGCTAGAGCGTCTGCTCTAGAGTTGTGAAGTAAATTGATCCTCATGACGCGGGTTCGAATCCCGCTTTGGGACATAGAAACTTGCCCTATGGATGAGACAGTATTAATCAAGGTCACGTGTCGCAGTAGATGGTGGTACAAAAAAAAAAACGATCTTACTGCTCGATGGCTTCGCGTACCGAGTACAAAAAAACTTTTAAGCCCTCTACCTGCAAGGAGCATTGTCTTGATAAGAATGAAAAGTTCCTAAATAAGACGTTAAACAAAGACAAACATCAAATCATTATTTTTGTGAATAATTTGAATTCAATATAGCTGCTTTCAAACGTATCACTTTATGCTGCGAGGGGTGTATTGCAAACACAATTTTTTGGAAAATCGAAAATTAATCGATGCAAAAAAGATAAAATAAATGATGAAGATGAATATGAAAACACTTAAATCTGGAATGTTTTGGGCGATTTCACCGAAGTATGTGTCCACTTGTATCCATAATACAATAATGGAAGTATTGCATATCACGCAGTTCACATGAGACGTTTGAAAAAAATTTTCCCTTCACTTCAATTCTATATAAATCCCCAATTGCGTCCTCATTCATTGCTTTATGAGGAAATATATAGGATCTTGATGTAATTTGTAAGATAAGCAGAAAAATATTTACAAACCATTTATTCTTCTGTCTTCCAAATTTCCTTCCGCTGAAATTAAAAGGAATATGTTACATGTTAATCATTAAATACTCTCTGATTATTCTATACTCTACATTTGTTATATTATTTTTTTAGATATACAAAACAAATTTAATTTTTAAAAAGAATAAAGTTTTTGTCCCGATCTCTTAACACATGGACACTAAACATCGAAACAAAATATGCTGTTTTAATGACATCGTGTATCTTTTATAAGTAATTGAAACTGTGTATACGCACGCTAACTCTCGATTCCTGCCTTCATTTTACAACCATTTAATTGACGATTGATGACAGTTTGGCCATAAAATATGTTTTCAATACAAAGAACAGCTCAAGATTTTTGCTTCATATCTTAATACCAGAGCTAATTAGTAGACTATCCCTAAATCCTGCTTTAGAAATAATGGGGGTTGGCGATATTTTCCACTGAACTCGGGCTATAAAGCATCACCAGTTTCTATTATAATAGTCTTAGATATGAATATTTCTTAAATATTTTCTTACATTTTATATGTAAAATCAGGAAATCCATATGAATATCAATATAATAATTCATAAGATCATTTGAAAATCTTAACTATCGAAAATTGACTTGGTTGTATCTATATAGGCGGGAGAATGATACTATCGTTCGCAGTTCTTTGTGAATGTTAAAAATTGAAATGCTATTGCTGAGTTGGTGCATTTAAAAGTCCGGGTCTATCCGAGTTTTTAATTAGAAAGTTTATGATAAGGAAGTCGAGGTTTATCCCTATTTATACACTTTGACACGTGATGTCATATGAACCAATGACAAATCTCGTTACAATGTATGACAATAATATTGAATAATGAAAAACTTTTTTTTTGTGTAATATAGCACACACAAAACAAATTCGTCCTCATCAATGCTACAAAAAATCGATTTTCTGATGTAGCAATAAATTGTATGTGGAGGGATACTTTTGTTACTCGGCCGGACACGTAAGTCATCATTTCGTTAGTCCTATGGTTTATACTATGGCTTTGTCGGCACAAGCTATCTATAATTCAAATGCATGTTTCACATAATAATTGTTAGATCATTATTTGCACACAGAAATGTCGACGAATTGTTTCGTTTATATTTCCCGACAATGACAAGGAACACGCGGCGGTTGTGACCGGTCGGCAGCGAATGTTTTCTCCTCCATTGGTGCCTGATTCCATCTCTGATGTTTAAGAGTACTGTGGTAGTTCTGCTCCTAATTTGTATTGTTTATTGGACTTTTGAGCTTGAATAATGTTCGTTATTTTCAAATATTTCATTGTATGTAGATTTGACTATTTTTTGAGAATAATGAAATTTATCTGTATAAACTTCTTTATATAAACTGGAAACTTTTTTATAAAACCATACCATTTCAAGGGCCCAAAGCATGGGACCATTTGATTTCATTATGCAGGACAATTATTGCATATGTAGTTAATTAAACTTTGCCTTTTTAAATTGTTCTCACCTGATCATATTATATATAAGTATCTCTTATACATGTACATGGCATTATAAGAGAAAAATATGATATACAGTAAGCATTTACAAACCATTCATTCTTTCAGGTTCAATGTTTTCTTCTTCTAAAATAGACAAAAAATCAAACTAATTAGATACCGTTGCTTTTTGCCTGTCTGATATAACATTTAGTATACACACGGTTTTTTGTTTCAAATATGTGTAATTAATAAATGATCTTGGATTCCATCAAAGTACTTTGTATAAAAATAATCAAGATCACTTTGTTTTAAAATGATAAGAAGACCGGAATTGGTTTAAACCTATAAACCTATACCTGTATTTTTTTAAACGGCTATAAATGCAAAATGCAAGTTTAAAGGAATGTAATACGGTAGAAAATATCTGGCTAATACTATGCTATGAAATAGTTTATAAACTACCGCATAAAATGTTACTTTTACGGCGTCTGTCGACGACCTTTTTGATATCATTTTCAAAGTGTTTGGAGCAATCGACATCTATTTTCGAAGATTCAGGAGTATTTTAAAAGTATTTGCTGGTCTGTCTGTCTGCCTGTTTGTCCGCAAAAAGCGTTTCCCAGTAACTTTTGAGTGGGAGCTTGCTATGGCTTTCATATTTCACAGATGTATTTAATGTGTAGTCATGGCTGCTATACTCATAGACCGTCATAAATAAGGATAAGGCATCGTAAGCGTACAATGAGTGTAGTGGATAATATCTTATCTTAATATCTTAAGATACCTGTACAGTTGATTGAGTTCTGCATTCGCCTGTATGATGTCATTTTCAGTTTTTAAGGTCTGTAATAAAAGTTTAAATTGCATTACTAATTGCTACACTTATCATATTAAGAATAAAATTATAAAATAAGAAACAAATTCAGGGAACTGTGTTTCCAAACAGAATATCATATGAACGAGCAAACTTTTTATATCTTAAATCAAATATATCACAAGTATTAGCTTTCCTAAAAAGCTTGTCTGACGTGATTTGCTTAAATTCATAAAGAGGAAAGAAATAATATATATGTTATATAATTTCTTAATATATCTTTCAAAAACCATGCGTAAACAATATTGTTTACAAAGAACATTTAATTTAAGCTAATGGCTCCAGGTAGACTTAAGTAAAATTTTTAATCGCCAAAAAAAATTTAATAATTATGGAATTTATTTCTTTTAATTTGCACATAACAACACCTCTGTGAAACAATATCAAAAATATTTAAATTTTTCTGCTTGACGTCTTATTTCTTCCACCTCAATTTATTATAAGATAAAGATTTTGACTTTAACTTAAGATGTTTCAAGATCCTGGGGACTGCATTTTTTCAAATAATGTTTTTATGTTAAATAACCTAACTGATTTTTTATTCAACAAACAGATTAAAATGAAGGTTGTAAATGAAGTCAATGGGAAGATCTTTGATCACTTAATGGACGCGTTTAAAGGGGATAACAATCTTGGCAGAGCGTTACACATGCTGACCATTCCCCTGCTGTTCTTGAGAGCTTTCATTGCTTCTCAAACTATCTAATGCACAATGATTCTCTACTTAACACAGTTACATAATTGATGTATGAAATTCTGAAGTATCTATAGGAAAGAAACAAGAAGATGCAAACTTTTTTTTTTACAATGTAATGTCCGAAATATTATCATTGGATAAGAGTAAATAATTAACATTTCAGCCAACCTGCAAATCTATTTACACAATAAAGAATTAAACGTAAATAAGACATTTTTTCCGTTTTCACTGCATTTTTCTCATTCACTGTATTAACAGATTTTACAATATGGGAGCAGGGTAACTAAGAGAAAATATTTGACTAAGTGCCTGATGTTTATAGATAAATCAATGTCAAAGGTACAATTTTACTGAAAATAAGCAATAAAATAATTAACCATAACATGTAAAATGATTTATTCTTTGATAAACAACACAAAAAATAACAGTGAGATCTATTATAATAGGACATTTTTAAGAGAACTGAAGCGGACATGTTCGAAGATGAAAGCACGGATTATACTAAAGACAAAATCACCCAGTAATGTAAATAGAAGATTAAAAGCTCATTTCCTCTTGGGGCAAACTACAAACGTCTTTTATATGCATTCGAAATTTCCACCATTGAACTATCTAAACAAATTCATGGAACGACTGCATAAATAAGCCCTGGTTAAATCTAGTACTGTCTGACGCCGTGACGTCAGACAATAACACAGAAGTGTTAATCTCCTTTACGTGTTCAGTAAAATTTTTATGCTTGCTTTAATTCAAATCTTTAAAAATGAATTCCAGTCATTAATTTATCCTGTTAAATATAAAGAAAAATTAATTTCAGTATTGAATTTGCGAGAAAAAAAATCCACATTTAATTTCTTGATCCATGATAGGTTTTCGTTTTTTTCACATTATCATCAATTGTTTACAAAAACATGAGAGAATATACACTGAAGTTAAAAAAAAAATTAATTTCTGAAAATAAAAAAAAATATGTACATGCATTCATTTAAATGATTAGATCTGTAAGCACCATAAGAATTGTAAACTCTTGAGTAGAGAATCAAGAGTTGAAATCTCGGACGAGAGTGGGGTATCCATAACATAAAAATTGTGACCATTACTGCATATGGTCTTCTTACACCTTTAAAGTGACTAATGGATAGAAAAATATTGCTACAATGAGACAATTAAAGGAACGGAAGAAAAGATACAATAATCATAGGATATTATAACTTTCCCCTTAAAATTTCAAAAAAAGTTCGTCATTCCCCTGTCTGACCCTGCTTTGCCTACAATCCCATATCGTTGTCCCTAACGACCCTGCCTTTTTGAAAGAACACCTCTTCATAGAAATATACCGGTAAAAAATTAGTCAGCTAATAAAGACTAATAATAAGTGCCCATCGAAATTCAAGCAGTATGTTGGAAAACCATGCCTGGGGCCATACAACTTAAACAAACTCTGTTTTGATTTCAGTCTCACTTTTACCAAAGGAATATAAAGTGGAAAAAGTGAAACTTAAATCAAAAGTAAACTTGTGTATGGCCCCAAGGCCAGGTCTTCAAAGACAACATATATGTTGTCAATGAAAAACTCATGCCAACGTTTTCATCTCTTTCATATTATTTGTGTTTAGAATAAGAGTATTTTTTTTTACTAAAGTAATTACACTAATGACAAATGACAATTAAAAAAATGTTCGTAGTTTCGTTTTTATTGAAAATAAATATATTATCAAGCCGTTTTTATTTATCGAGAGGAATTATTGTAAAAGTGAAAAAAGTAATACAACATTTGTTTGTTGATTTTTCTAAAAGCTGATGGATTCCAATTTTCCTTTAAGTTATAAGACGATTCCCCCAAGTGTATATTTCATCATATAGAAACCAGGAAGTGTTGTTATCTATAACCTTGACTCCTTTGATATGGTATATTATCATATATGTAGTTCTGTTTACAAAATATTATCTATGCAATAGGCATGTATTTTCCGCAGGTATCATACAGCTGTATTCGCTACAATCATATAATAAATGAAATGATATCCCTTTTATCAGAGAGTACTTTTTTAAGTCTGCTTGATGGTACTTGTTTTATCTAAAATTACTCAAATATTAACTAATCATTATAAATATACAAAGACAAATACGTAAAAAAAAACCCCACATGTTTGTTTACTTTCTATGGAAAGACAACGGAGTCAAAAATCCAACTCATCCTGCAATTCTATATCCCCATGCTCCAAATTTCAACCTTTTATGAAGTATCATATTAAATATTATATGTAATTAATTTTTAAAAATTGGCAAAAGAAATAAAAATCAAAATCTGTACAGTAGATCAGATTTGAATGAGTTGACTATAAAATTGTCCTCATTTTCAAATTATGTGTTAGATTGCTTGGAATAACTTTCGGAAAAGTTATGATCTGATCAGAGATGGAGGTTTTTGAGCATTGCTACAAAATTAAGGGAAGTTGACAATTGAAAGTTAAAGTTCATGTTAATCATAAAGCGGTGAAGCAACTTTAAAATCCATCTATCACAAAAATATTAATATGTGTTCTAGCTCAATTTCTTGCAAAAATAAATAAATATTTTTTTAAAATTTTCCTGCAAACGTATTACACTTTCATCACCACGTTATATTACGTTGATGTGAAGTCATTAATTTCGTTTATCTTCACGACCAGAAAAACATAAATGTATTAACCATTCACTAAAAAAAAGCTAGTAATTCCAATGATTGATGATAATCTTCATGTTGAAATAGTATACCAGTAACATGGAACTGTTCAAATTAAACATTGAGAGGTCATATGATTTTTTTTCTCTCAATAAACTTAAGCAGTGCAGTAAAATTAGAGCAAATGCATATGATTGTATATAAGAAACATCTAATCGGATTTGATTTAAGATCGTTTGCAAACCTATATATTTTTAACTATTGTTTTTTGTTTAATTTAAATCGGAAATGTTACAATTGATTTAAGATAAATGTATGAAGCACAATTAATATGGCTATAAGTCGCCCGGCTGGCGCAGTGGAAGAGTGTCTCCTCTAGATTCGTGGAGTAAAAGTAAATCCTGACGTCTCGATTTCGAACGCCACTGTGGGAGGTTGAGGCCGGCCTTTCGGACGAGACCGAGGCTCCGAGCCGCAGAAGATGCTGGTACGAAAAGGATCCTTCGGAGCTGGGGACGAGTATAGGTCAGTGTTTGCAGCTCCCCACCAGCAAGTGGTGACCTCTTCATATGAGTGAAAAATTCTCCAGAGGAACGTTAATCAACAAAAATATCAACTTGTACGTTTATACTAATACTTCATAGAATGAAAATTGTATGTCTATTCCTTTCCCCAGTGCATGAAAAGAGATGTGAGGGCTCATAACAAAATACAATATCATTATCCCACCGCCAGCATTTTCAACTAGTTTCCTTCCTGCTTACTTTTAATTTTTCAATTTTGTAGCGTTTTCTTTTAAAGTTTTTCAAGCTTGTTATAATTTTGTGAGACTCAATTTCCCCTTATACTTCATAGCAAAAAAAATGTAATTCTATTGTGATGCATTTTCTTTTTAAAAATGACATAATTTGTAAATCCCGCCAGAATGAATTGAATGTCGATATTGTATAATATACAAAGAATGATGAATCAAACAATTTTACTTAAAAAAGAATTACTATAGCTTCGCATTTTTTTTTTACGTTGAATCCTATTGTAACTTTAGTAAACCCGCGTATAAATGTATGTTTGACAAAACTCAATAAGCCGATCATTTTAGCTTAACAGCCGAATTAACTTACCACACTAAAACGCCTTTTCATAAAGCATTTTTGTGTATAATAACTAACCATGCAAGGAAAAAAAGGTACGGTTTGAGCTTTATTGTGGCCTAAAAATTAAATGTTTTTAAAAAGTTGTGAAATTGGCTTTAACAACAGTTTAGTAGATGAATATGATAAATCATTAAAAATGTTGTAGCATAAAGGAGGACCTTTCTGGAATTATGACGTCATTAATTTGGTACATTTCTAAGTGTAATGCAGCAAAGCCTCAAATGACTCATTTCTGTGCTATTTCCCATTAGAATGTAGTGCCTGTCACCGTCGCTCACTTTCACAAAATCACATATCTCAAAATCTTTCTGGGCTACGGTGGCATAGTATGTTTTTTGAAAGAAAATTCCACTGAAAATTGATGTCTTCTGCAACTTTTTAAGAAAAAACGGGAAAATGCACAAGTTAATGACGTACCAATTAGCATTTAAGGGGTCATATGAGAAAAACGATCTGGCTGTGTATTCTTATTGCAGGGAATTCCTATGATTCAGAAAGAAAGAATTTTGATTTCTTATATCACTTTCATATTTTAGAAAAATATGGGCTTATTTCATATTGGAGCTTTACCTTGCCACGGTATTTGTTTCATACTTTTCAAGTTATGTTTTATAGCTACAATTGACATTTTGTGATATAAAAATTGTCAAAGTATAAAATTATGATTTACGATTTAAATTGAAGAGCAAATTGAAATTTCAAAGTGCACTCCAATCGATTTTTTCATTTTTTTTCTTTTTGCTTGCCATTATTTCTTTATTATTATCAAAGACTGATGACTAAATATATATTAGAAAAGATTGTAAAAAAATTGCTTTCGTTATTCAGAGATCTTTTATTTTTTTGACAGCATTGATTTATGTGATTTTTTTTTATTGAAAATTGATTACAATAATCATAAATATATTTGATCTTACAGTGGAAAAAGAATGAAATTACTAGTCTTACACATTCAGAGATAATCAAATACAACATAAATGCTCTTACCTTTTTTCATTTATAAGTACCGTTTGTGAGGAATCATCTAGTGTGAAAAGTACAAAAACGATTGCACGGATTTTATAAAAAAAAAAATCTTTTGCGCAACTGTTAGTTGTCATTGTCAATTCTGCGTCTATACAATTTTTATCTTATCTATTGTTTATTATAATTGAGTTCTAATTCGTTAACCTGATAACATGAAACAATCTTTTTTTTAATTATTCAGTATTTACACTATATGATACTGAATTGTCGGAGACTGAATTTTGTTTAGCTATTCTGTTTTTTTTTTTTTTTTTCAGAAAAATATCTACATTTTTTTTCTGTTTTGATATCATAATCAGTTTTTAGACCCGATTATGTCTTATAATCGTGGAAAATGAATAAAATGCTTACTCTGTAGAAATGACGACATCCTAATATAAGACAGGATTGGGAGAAAGAGGGGGGGGGGACTTTACTGTTGTTGCTGAAAAAGATCTTTCCCCCATTTCAGTACATAAGATATCTCCTGCAATCTTGAATAATTCTGGTACTTCAAATAATGATATTATTATAATTTTTTTTATTTTTTTGAATTATAAAAACATTAATTGTTTAAACATATTTATGTGCGTATATATTGTTTTAATTTACTAGGCTATTTACTTTATGAAATTAACGTAGGAAGTCATTAATATGATTCAAAATTGATACTTTTTTTCGTCTCGATCTATTACTTGTGTAACAATGGATCCGGAAATTATCAGATTGGCAATCTAATGAAAAAAATAAATAAAAGAAATTGGTAAAGTTTTACAATTACATTTATCTTAAATATTATCTTTAAAAAGTTTAAATCAGACAGGAAACACAAGATATTTTCAATTTTCCATGATAGCAGTTCTCCGACATCTCTCTCTCTATCTCTTCCTTTCTCTCTTTTATAATTTTATTTTACTCCGATTGGCACACATTTACAATACTGTTAATGATATTTTATTTATTATTCAGAAATTCAAAACTTATTATGATTAAAATCCAAGATTTAAATCTTAACATGATGACTGGTTTAAATGTTTCTGACAAACAATGTGCACTCCATATTGTCAGTTCTTATTTGCAGTGCTGCATTGGAAAGTGACAAAAATTAACGTTTACACAAACGTTCTAAATTTTCATAATTTTACTTATAATAAAGATAGCTAGTCTATTTATATTAAACTTTAACATTTACATTTTTAGAACTCGTACGTGTGATGCAGTTGTTAGAGCGTCTGCTCTAGAGTCGCAAAGAAAGGATTTGATCCTTACCTCGCGGGACTGAACTGCAACGGTGGGACATGGAGACCGGTCCTTCTGATTAGACCGTATAAATCGAAGTCCCATGTCGCAGTAGGTGCTGGCACGAAAAAATCCCTCCCTGCTCAAAAGCCCTAAGTGCCAAGTACAGGACAAATTTGCAAGTCTCCACCAGCAAGTTGTGGCATCTCCAGTGAAAAATTATAGATAGGTACGTTAAGGTATCACACAGGAAAATTATTTTACTATATATTACTATATATTACTATATAGCTTGAGTTAAGTTATTTAATCAATTAGACTCTCAACAGCTAATTCCTGTCAGAGAAAGGGAAGATAATTGCTATAAAAAATTGAAATCAGAAAAATACGCCTTTCGTGGCTTTTAAGAAAGAAAATTGACAGTAAACATACCTACCCCGAAATACACGTGGGTTTCAGATGTTGACAAACAGCCTACACACCATCTAAGAAGTTGCATCATCGACGCATGAGAAAGAAGTTCCCTTTAATCCAATGTAATAATAATTCTGCTATAGTTATGACATTCGTAGTACATGAGTCCAAATTTTATACTGTATATAAAGATGCCAAAAAATGAAAAAACGAAATTTTTCTCTCTCTCTATACATATATATGGATCTATAATTGACTAAGTTGATTTTTACTGGCTGATTCTTTGCATAAGACCTTACAAGAGATACAAACAAACAAACAAAACATTTGTAAATAATTTTTTACCTTGATCACATAAATGTATGTGGTCTTCGACACATGAAAATCCATTACAGACAGTTTTTCAGATATCTGCTTCGAAAATAGAATTAATTTTTCTTCCAGCAGTTTATCTGCTTACCTTCTATCAGGCTAACAGGTCCCGAAAAAACAATGCCTTACAGTAGTATAGAAATTATTACTTATAAACAAGGGATTTTAAACGCATTTGCATATAATCTCCGCACCATACATGTAGTAGCTATCGCCATTTTGTCCAACTGATGTTCGACCTGAGCGCAGATGCAAATGTCTCGATATAGCAGTGATCTTACTGATCAAAATCAGCACATCCAGATAAAAGATGGATCTGTATTTTGCTACGTTAAAACACTAAACTCTTTTTAATATAATGTTTTACTCACACGGCTCTATATCCTCTTCACAGTTAAATTCTCTGCTAGTTATTGACTGTGCACAAGAATTAGTGATTTTTATTTATAACATTGTATATCGCTATTAACCAAAAATTATTTTAATAAAGTAAATCATGACGCAAAAACTTAAACGACGTGCAGAATTCAACGGCCTCTAAGTTGCCTCGGCCAGGTCAGGTCAACTCGTGGGCCAGATCTTGGGTCCTTTTTTCACCATTTTGACCTGAAAAGAGTAATTAATTCTATATTAAAGATCTTCTTATCTAAATATTGTAGGTCATCAAAGTTATCCACAACAAATGCAATCAAACAAGCAGGAAGAAAGTTTACTTGAAGTGCAATACAAATGGCAAAAATATGGATTTTCCTTGGCTTTCTTTGCTTTTGGAATTGTTCTTTTATAATCGAAATTGGAATGCCCTCATTCATGATGATATAGATATTCTGTACACCAGGCCGATCGCCATTGTATTTTGAGAACCTTCCTTAATGCATTGTTTTTAGTCCATCAGCAGTATCGGTGCTTCCATATTTCTACGGAACCTTTTCAACGGTATAAATCAACCCTGTCATTGTATTATATCTATTGAACGGGAATTTTATCGTATCTTTCGTATTCTCCACAGTTTATGCAGATGAAGGAACTTCTTTACGAATGATTTCATTTTATAAAGGTCATTGTAATACATAATAAGAATTAAACTTTACTTTACACAGCAAGAATGAAAATAAAAATGAATAAAAACACTAGTATAATACGTGTAACTGATTACATGTGACTTGTAATTATACTCATTCATTGGAACAAATGGATACACTTAACAGCTGGAGAGAATATAATGCAATGATTGTGCAATATTCATGGATATCATGTTAAAATCATAGCAGGAAAAGGATTTTTTTTTCAAGGAAAATTTTTCATTTCCAGTGATATCTTTTGTAATTCATCACTTTTTCCAGAAAATTAAAATAATTACATTATTACATGTGTATTTTTTTTCATCTGTCAGTCTAACAGAAAAATATTTACATTCATTGGATATAAGAATTCAAGATTTTATTTTTTTGCCTCAAGTAATTTTACCTATTTTTCTAAAATAACAACATAACCTCACTTATTAAGTGTATAATTTTTCAGGTAAGTTCTACTGAAATTAACATTATCTTTGAACTGCTTTACTCAACAAAGGAGGAAACTGTTTGGAGCAAAGGTTCAACTGTCAATATAACATACATTCAGTGTACATATATTTTAAAATAACGTAATTTATATTAAACATGGAAATGTTCCAAGCAAATACTAGAGGCAAAACACTAACGTTCATCACAGTAAATCGATAATAAATTCTACGTTTCAATTCCTGGCTGCTTCACCTGATGGTAAATTTTATTTGGATGGACAAGCTAGAGTTTTAAAGATAAAATGTTCTTTTTTTTTTCAAGAACGTATATATATTATTTCCGAAGATGTATAATTGCCAAATTTCTAAATTTGGTAACATTAATTTGTTAAAAAGAAAAGTGACGATTACCTTTTTCAAAACCAGGGATAAGTACCTCTTTCTGTGTATTTGTAGTCTTTATTTATAACATATTTATTTGGAAAAGGATACCATAAATTTTCCATTTAATGAAAGACATGAAAGGAAAACCTGCTTTGATCTTGGGCAATGAAAATTCTACAATACATTCTGCTTGATAACATATTTTTTATCATGCATACGGATTTTATCGTCAATAAATTATTATGCCCTGTTCATACGACAAGTTTAATTCGCAGTAAATTATATTAATGCTAAGTAAACTGATGAAAAACAAACTAATGCGAATTAGATTGTACGGAAGCCCGTTGAGGCAAGTTCAGAAAAAGAAATATTTCTTATTGCGTTTAATCGCAATAGTTATTGCGTTTAAACGCAAAACAGTGCGTTTAATCGCAATAATTATTGCGTTTAAACGCAAAACATTGCGATAAATCGCAATAATCATTGCGTTTAAACGCAAAGCACTTTGCGTTTAATCGCAAAAGATTGCATTTAAAAACAATGTTTTGCGTTTAAACGCAATAATTATTGCGATAAAACTCAATAATTAATGCGATTATACGCAATAATATTTTTGCGTTTAATCGCAATAATTATCGCGATTAAACACAATAAGTTTTTACATTTAAACGCAATGATCTTTGTATTTAAAAGCATTAATTTCTACTGATCTTTAAAGAGTGCAATGGTCCCACGCTGATATGTAGTAATCTATGAGGAAAATGGTGCATTGTTAAGCTTTATAGATTAAGACTCTTCTGAACAAGCATTTTCTGAATGGGTAAATCATTGGTATTGATTTAAAAGCCTGTTCCTGTATAAAGGGCTTAAGGAAACAACTGATAAAATGTTTCGACTTATGTACATATGAACATATTATGTACATTATATATTCACAACCTTTCCTTTGATCACATACAGTAAATACGAGAACACGAGAATTTATGAGATGGAATCATATGAAATCAAAAATAAATCAAATCAAAACAGATTTGCCGATGTGTTCTACCAAATTGATATGTCTATTAATAACACTGAAACATTCTTAATTAGCTGTGATACCTAAGGAATTGATTAATGGCTGCAATAAAAGTGTTGGGCTCTAAAAGCTTTAAGAAACTTGGTTGTTAGGATGTCATTGTTAAACTTAAAATCTCACAAACTGCAACATTTTCAAAAAGACACAAAACCAAACGGCTCTTCTTTAAAGAATCGGACCGTAGTATTTATTAAAATCTTCGCATTTAAATACAAAAAGTTATTGCGATTAAACGCAAAAAACCATTGTGATTAAACGCAATATTATTGCGATTAAACGCAAATATTACTGTGTTTAATCGCAATATTATTGCGTTTAAACACAAAAATTATAGCGATTAAACGCAAAAATATTATTGCGATCAAACGCAAAAAGTAATGCGTTTAAACGCAAAAGATTGCGATTAAACGCAAAGTACTTATTATTAATTGCAATGTTTTGCGTTTAAACGCAATGATTATTGCTATTAAACGCAATAAAAATATTTCTCGCTCTGAATTGGCCTCAACGGGTTTCCATAAGATTGCGTCCACACGTCAACTAATGCGAAGCTAACTTATGCAAATTAAAATTTTACTTCTACGGTAAGGCGTCAGTAAGACTATTATGCAAAATTTATGGGAGAAGAAGTTGCAAAACTGTTTCGCTGAAAAGAAAAAAAAAGATCTTCAGTAATCTTTACAGCTGTATTTCCTAGTAAGAAGTGGTATGACCTACTGAATATTTTTCCCCTTATTTTTGTTAGTCATTAAAAAGTCACAAATTTTTAAAACAATTTTCTGTGAATGTATTAAAAGGGCATTCAATATACTACTTGCACTTTAAGTAATGGTAAAAAGTCTAACCACTCATTCATTTGAGTTGACTTGCATTGTATATTTCATCTCTAGTTTCCTTAATTGTTCATTAGCCTGCGTATCAAAAGAATCTGGTAAGTCATCAAATAGACCATCTAAAGGAATAATAAAATAAAATACATTAAAATGTTGAAATTAGACAATTAGAATGATCTTAGATATTATCTATAAAAAGTTTCAAAATGGGAGGTGACAATATAATTCATAATTTCCCATGAATTTCAAAGCAATTCAGAGATGCATCACTCACTCACTCTCTCTTTCTTTCTCTGTCACCGTTCACGGTAGCTCAGTCAGTAGAGCGCTCGCTCCGTGATCGGGAGGTCGTGAGTTCGTATCTCGGCCGCGACTGACCTAAGTCGATAAAAAATGGGTAGCAACTGTTCCTTCGCCATGCGCTCGGCACTTTGAAGTGAATGTTGCGGGTCCTTCGGCTGAGATCTTAATAACCGAGGCCTCATGTCAGCAGCAGGCGTTGGCACGATAAAGATCCATTACTGTTCAATCGCCCTGAGTTCCGAGTGAAGGTCAAAACTTGAAGCCCTTCACTGGCATACGGTGACATCTCCATATGAGTGAAAAATTCTCGAGAGGGACGTTAAACAATACACAATCAATCTTTCTCTGTCTATCTGCATGTCTGTCTGTCTGTCACTCTCTTCTCTTTCTATCTGAAGGAATATTCTTTTCGTCTTTGTTTTAAATTTTCAATTATGTTTATGATAACATTCTATTTATTAATGCAACAATTCTGAACATGCTATAAAATTCCGAGACTAAAACCCAGCATAATGACTGGTTTATCTGACATACAGTTTGTACTCCTAAATGATTGATCACTTGTGCTATTTGCAAGACAGCTTAGCAGAGTGACAACTATTATTATCCTTCAGAATTATACAGTCTAGCTGATTGGTTTAACGCATATCATGTGGGGTGCGACAATTCGTGAAGTCTCCCTCACGCGCAGGGTGACAACTGTTGTCACACTTCAGATAACAATGAAATAGCTTTTATAAGCGAGCATGCACAGCCACAACAGTGTTGTTGTCCACTGGTTAAGCGAAATAATCCTTATTTATAATTATGTGTGTACACGCTTTGCTACATATGCGAGACTAGTAAACAATAAATTCCTATGATGACGTCAAAGTTGTCTGTTGACATAGTTTGGAGATTTTTGGAATCAGAGCAGAGTAATAAAAGACAAAAGATTTGATTACTATTTTCCGCTCTATTTAATTGATAAGTTAGATTCTTAAGGATAAAAAACTATTATGGACTGTTTAAACGGGAGACACCACCAATTATCAGATCTGAGTAGGGTTGTTACCCTCCGGTGACGACCCTACTCAGACCTGATAATTGGTGATGTCTTCCTTCCTAACAGTCCATAAATGTAAAATATTCAAACAATTCACTCGTCATTATATACATTTAACTAATTATAAAATTTTAATGAAATAGGTTCAGTTCTAGAAATTTTACCTTCAAACATAGACGTGTATGAGGTCGTCGACATAAAAAAATCCGTCGCGGGCATTTCTGTAAATCAGAGTTTGGCTTGGGAAACGGAATGAATTTTGCTCTCATCAGCTTAACTGCTTCTTCTACCGGATAAACACGCCCCGAATTAACAGTGCTTCACCATAGTAAAATTGCTAATGCAGCACTATTACAGGTATTAATCAACGACGAATTTCGAACACTTCTTTGCGTAGCATCTCCGTAAAACTTGTTTCTAGCGCCATGCATTTTGCTTGACCTCAGCCCAAATGCAAATGAAAGGAGAAAGCAGTGATCTGTTCTGTCACTATTATAACACCCACAAAGGATATGGATCCGTACTTGATAATCCAAACAAAAACTATTTCGTATACTGTTTGACAAGAAGTTTGCTAACAATGCTTTGGCGAAATAGATACCCTAAAATGATTTAATTTACAAGACTACCATGATCTGATTGTACAACTTTTATGAGGGAAAGTTAAGAATTTGTAGAATAGTTATAAATCAATCTTTGAATGTTTTAGTTATTTTACATGTATAAATACGATATGATGGAATAAGAGAAAAAGATATAACTGAAATAAGAAACAATTTTTTTGCAAGATTTTTGACCATATAGAAGAGAAACGATTTGTAGATATGTTGAAAAACAATTTTAAAAGCATTTTAAATCATTAATTTT